AGGGGCTGCCAGAGACCCCAGTGCCACAGTGGGTTGTCTGGAGAACACCAGCGCAGAAGCGCCCAAGGTGCCGGTGCCAGACCCGCTGATTGCACACTGAGAAACCTCGGAGCTTGGAACCTGCACAAAGACCCTTCCCCCATCCCTCACCGGAGCGGCGCAGCCCTGTCCTGCCAAAGCCACTTGTCCTTACGGCCAAGGGGGGCCCCAGGACTACAGGGATCCATCCGCAGGACACCAGTGCAGAAGACTCCCAGGGTGCCAGTGCAGACCCGGAGAGTGCAAACAGACAGAACCCTGGAGCTCAGAACCTGTGTGAAGACCCTTCCCCCTCAGCCGGCTGCCAGCGCAAAAAATGCCCGCAGTGCCAACCTGGACAGCATCGCAGAGGCAGAGACGGGGAGAAACAGATCCAGAGTGGCCACCACCTACCCAGCCCACAAGCATCTCAACCGAACGCAGAACGCAGTGGCAACCAGCAACCTACATTGCACAGAAAACAGCAATCTGCCACAGCACCGCTGGAGAGTTCCCAACTAGCTCCAGGGTGAGTACCCTGCAGGGGACAGCATCCTAGCCAAGGGAGACCAGTGCTAGCTTGACCTAGACCCCCCGCACCACCACCTGGACTACAGGTCCTCAAAATTGGGAACTGTGCAAGCACCCCACCAGCGTGTGGAACACATCCAGCCCACCAGGCTTGATCAAGATCACCCCTGGGAGGGAGCGTGAATGCCCAAACCAGAAACAGCACCTGTGGGCCACAGCAGTCAGCAGCAGAAGAAATACAAACTGTGTACCCCAGGCTGCGTACCCTGGGTGGAATACCCAGCAGCACAGATCCAGTTGGTGTGCCCCAGGTGGGGGACTGGGAGCCAGGGCCAGGCCTTGGGATCAGTTACACAATCTACCAGTCCTGATTGAAGTCAGAAGCTGAGCACACGCCTCAGCAGAGGGGGGAAAGCAGGGAACTGCACCCCCTGGGAACCACACCCATGATACCAAAAGACCTAGGTGTCCAGGGTGGGAGAACCAGAAGCCCAAACCCCACCAGAACCTGACCTATATAGCCCAGGCTAGGGATTGTACACCTCAGGCCGCCAGCACATGATTATAATCTGGAACTCATAGCAGACTCCAGCAACTGGGAGAGTAGATCCAGCACACCCATTCTTGCCAAGAGCACCCATAGGAGTAAGCAGTCTGGGGCTGCTCAGTCCTTGGCTAAAGGCGGGAACTGCCTGTGATCTCCAGAAGACACCTGAGAGCCCTATGTGGGTCAGACTAGCAGCTGGAGGTCGGCCTCTCCCCCAACAGAATACAGACCAGGTATAGACTCTCTCAGCCAACCCAGGGCCGAGAGTGAGCTTCATCAATTGATCCAGGAACCAACCCAGAACCAAGCAAAGACAGCCACCTATTGACCAAAACAGAGTTTCAGATTCGTCTCCAATAATCCCTGAATCCCCATGTGAAAATCACAAAGAAAAACTGCACTACATCTAAGAGATGCTGGAGGCAATGACTCAAGAATTAAAGCAAGAATTAGATCCAAAATTTAAAGAACACAGAAACGAAATGTCAAAAGAGGTACAGGATTTCAAACAGAGGATGCATGCAAAAATGGATGCAGTACAAACCTCACTAAGAGATGAGATTAATATTCTGAGAACCAACATAGAAACCATAAATGGTTCAATTTCCTCCATGCAAACCATAATGGAAGCCATAGGTAACAGAGTGAACGAAATGGAAAATAGAATATCAGATACGGGAGACAAAACACAACAACTGGAAAAAAAAAGTCACAGATAGGGAAAAATCACTTAAATTATGTCAAAGTTAAATCCAAGAGCAAGCAGTGCCAAGCAATTTAACCTTCGTATAATTGGAGTGGACAAAGGTGAGGAATATCAGAGCAAGGGAATGCAACACCTATTCAGTAAGATTATCAATGGAAATTTCCCCCATCTTAAAAGAGAACATCTTACCTACAATAACAGAAGCATATAGAATACCTAACAAGCAGGATCCCAGAAGAAACACTTCTAGGCACATTATAGTAAAAATGATAGATCTGAATGATGAAGAAACAATCTTGCATGCAGCAAAAACAAAGAATGAGCTATACTATAATGGAAAAAAAAATCAGACTCACTGCAGATCTCTCCACACAGGCACTGAATGCAAGGAAAGCCTGATAAAGTACAATCTGAGCCCTGAGAAGCAATAACTGCCAGCCCAGATACACCCGGCAAAGCTAGCATTCACATTCCATGGAGAAACAAAAATTTCTAATAGTAAAGAAAAACTAAATGAATTCATAAACAATAAGCCAGCATTACAAAGACTACTAAGGGCTGGGAAGGTGGCTCAGTGGTAGAGTGCTTGATTCCTCAGCACCACATAAGCAGAAAAAAAAGCCAGAAGTGGTGCTAGCCTTGAGCTGAAGAGCTGAGGGACAGCGCCCAGGCCCAGAGTTCAGGCCCCACGAATAGCCAAAAAAAAGAATCAAAGACTACTAAGAGGGGGAACACAACCTGAAAAACACAATCAAGAACAGGGATCCACATCAGACAGATATCACTAGAAGTCCAAGTAGGCTTCATCCCAGAGATGCAGGGATGGTTTAACATACATTAAGTCAATAAATGTAATCCATCAAATCAACAAATCCAAGGTCAAGAACCACATGATTATCTCCATTGATGCAGAAAAGACTTTTGATAAGATACAACATTCATACCCGTTAAAAGCTCTGGAGGAAATAGGAGTAGAAGGAACATTCCTTAAAATAAGAAAAGCCATATATAACAGACCAATAGCCAATTATTATACTTAATGGGAAAAGGATGCCCACTTTAACCACTCCTCTTCAATATACTTCTGGAATTCTTTTTTTTTTTTTTTTTGGGGGCGGGGGGTAAGGGTCCAGTCGTGGGGCCTGAACTCTGGGCCTGAGCACTGTCCTTCAGCTCTTCAGCTCAAGGCTAGCACTCTACCACTTGAGCCACAGCACTACTTCCGGCTTTTTTCTTTTTGCTTATGTGGTGCTGAGGAATCGAACCCAGGGCCTCAGGCATGCAAGGCAAGCGCTCTACCACTGAGCCACCTTCCCAGCCCCACCTCTGGAATTCTTACCAGACAATACGGCAAGAAAAAGACATTAAAGGGATCCACATAGGGAAGGAAGAAGTTAAGCTATCCCTTTTTGCAGATGACATGAAACTATATCCCCATGATCCCAAACACTCTACCCCCAAACTCTTAGAACTTATAAACTACTTTGGCAAAGTAGCAGGATACAAAATCAACCAACAAAAATCAGTTGCCTTTCTGTACAACAACAATTACAAGCAGAAAGGGAAATCAAGGAAACAACCCATTTACAATAACCTCAAAAAAATAAAATATTTAGGAATTAACCTAACCAAAGGTGTAAAAAGAACTACTTAATGAAAACTATAAAAACTTATAGAAAGAAATTATAAGAGGACAGCAGGAAATGGAAAGACCTTCCATGTTCTTGGATAGGCGTATAGTGAAAATGGCCATACTGCCAAAATTGATATACAAGTTCAATGCAATTCCCATTAAAATCCCAACAACAAATGCTAGTGGGGATGCAGAGAAAGAGGAACCCTATTGCACTGCTGGTGGGAATGTACACTAATATAACCAATTCGGAAAGCAGTCTGGAGGGTCCTCAGAAAGCTAAATGTAGACCTCCCCTATGACCCAGCCATACCACTCCTAGGCATCTATCCTGAACAACAGGAACCAGAATACAAGGACACATGCACCTCCATGTTTATTGCAGCACTGTTTACAATAGCCAGGATATGGAAACAACCCAGATGCCCCACTACAAATGAATGGATCCAAAAATTGTGGTACCTATATACAATGGAATATTATGCAGCCATTAGAAAGGACAAAATATTGGCATTCACAGGGAAATGGATGGAACTAGAAAAACCATGTTGAGTGAGGTAAGCCAAGAGCAAAGAGACAAATGGCACGTGGTCTCCCTGATAAGTGGATGTTAAATCCAAAATGTAAGGAGATACGACAAAGTAAACAAGACTCGAGAAATAAAGGACCTCCATTCATCTGGTTGAATCATTACTAAATGACCCCATGCTGCTGACCACATATATGGTACTTGTGTACACTGGAGGGAAACTAGGAAGAGGACACAGAAACAGAGGGAAACGGGAAAACATACAACAGTGAGACCCATCAGCTGCACTGGTCATTGATTAAAATGAGCTAAGCAACTCAATGGCAGCGTTGAGAGGGAGGAAATAAGTGGGAAAAAGGGAACAGCTGACACTAAGCAAAATGAAAGAAATGTTCATATCATCCAGTATGGAAGAAATAACTGTATTGTCAAAGTTCATAAACTCATAAACTTTATAGACCACGAAAAAAAAGAGGAAATGGGGTTCAGTGAGTTAAATAACTTCAGTATGGGGCTGGGAAGGTGGCTCAGAGCACTTGCCTTGAGCTGAAGAGCTGAGGGACAGTGCCCAGACCCAGAGTTCAGGCCCCACGGCCGGACCCCCCAAAAAAAAGCAAACTTCAGTATGAAACTAGGGAATAACCCAAGTCTTTCTAGCTCCAGAGTCTTTATGGCTGACTTACCCATACTGGCCTGAAGGGAGGAGTCATTAAACAAGGTTTGACAAGAAATGTATCCATTTCCTACCTCATGTAACTGTGACTCTCCTGTACAGCATCTTTACAATAAAATAAAATATTAACATGCCAATTACTCTATTTATTACCGTGGCCACAGTATTGGAAAAAAACTGAAATTCAACAAAAAAGAGAGTTTAATAAAAAAAAATCATGATAAAAATAAAATTAGTTGGAGTTCTGGTACTAGACAATGCTAAAAACTTACATCATCAGCTTATTTTCTGTTCAAAGGTTATTAAAACATATCAAGTAGTAGTCCTCTACTTAGTAAGTTAAGGTTGTTTTTTTTTTCTTACCAGGCTATTTTCTTTCCAGGCTTCTGGGAACTTGGGTCTCTGTTTTTCTCTGGACACAAGTACCTGCATATCCTCAAAAGTGGGATGATTTCCAACTTCTGTCTGAAAAGCCATCTGGTATTCTGGTACAGATTCACCTGTGTATGTGTAGAAAAAATGGCAGACTAGCAAAAGTATTTCTGGTACTGGGGCTTAAACTCAGCCTTTTTCTTAGGGATGGCGCTCTACCACGAGCCACATCTCTAGTCTGGCATTTTTGTTGGAGGTAAGTCTTGACGATTTGCCCAGGTTAATTTCAAACTGCAACCCTCAGATCTCAGCCTCCTGAATAGCTAGGATTACAGGTGTGAGCCACCAGCGCCCAGCTCAGAAGTATTTCTTATATCAGGTAAACAAGGAAATTGTGCATATTAAACCCTTTCAAATATATCTGGAAGAGTCTGTCGTTTTAATATATAACTATTTAAATATTTTACTAAGAATAGTATTAAATATTTTTTGATAAGTCAAATGATAGTTTCAATGATGGACAGATACTTAAAAAATATTTGTGGTATAGAGAATTGAACCTGGGGCCTTGCACATGCTTACGCATGTACTCTACCACTAAACAATACTACATTTAGGAGGAAAATATGTTCATAATGTATAAGATATACTTAAAAATATGTGTGACAGGGCTGGGAAGGTGGCTCAGTGGTAGAGCGCTTGCCTTGCATGCCTGAGGCCCTGGGTTCGATTCCTCAGCACCCACATAAGCAAAAAGAAAAAAGCCGGAAGTGGCGCTATGGCTCAAGTGGTAGAGCGCTAGCCTTGAGCTAAAGAGCTGAGGGACAGTGCCCAGGCCCAGAGTTCAGGCCCCATGACCGAACCAAAATAATAATAATAATAATAAAAAATATGTGTGACCTCTGATCCCATACATGAAGATGAAGAGAAAATCCAAGACTTACTACAACAAACACATCTATAAAATCCAAATATAAGTGGGTAGGTAAATCATCACTATGTTTCATTAGATCACTGGCTCTATTATAGGTTAGCCAGATTAGTGAATGTCACAGAAATTTGTATGACAATAACCATATGACAAAAAAATACTGATTTTTTTTTGGGGGGGGGGGCTCCAGTCGTGGGGCCTGAACTCTGGGCCTGGGCACTGTCCCTTAGCTCTTCAGCTCAAGGCTAGCGCTCTACCACTTGAGCCACAGCGCCACTTCCGGCTTTTTTCTTTTTGCTTATGTGGTACTGAGGAATCGAACCCAGGGCCTCATGCATGCAAAGCAAGCACTCTACCACTAAGCCACCTTCCCAGCCCAAAAAATACTAATTTTTTAAATTCTTCAACAAGCAGTATTTAGATCAAGACTTTAAATCATCATTAATTATTCTACAAGTGTTTAATAACATTCATTACCAATAAGCACCATCAACTGTCTCCAATGACAGGCTTTTGAATTTTGCAAAATACAACATTAAAAAGTTAAGTATGTTAATAAATGCCCTAAGCCATAAAGAAGACCCTGGGACCAACAGAAAACCAATGGTCTAACATTGATAACATTAAATTTATTAATAAACATACTGAACTATACAGAAGACTCTTTGGACATAACATAGAAAATGAATGATCTAGTAGAAATCTCATTAAAAAAACACAGGATAACTAGACTTTTCTTGTCTTCTTACCCCTCTCTCATCCTATTAAAATGACAGTCTAGCCGGGACCTGGTGGCTATTGCCTGTAATCCTAGCTACTCAGGAGGCTGAGATTTGAGGATCACGGTTCAAAGCCGTGAAACTCTTATCTCCAATAAACCATCAGAAAACTGGAAGTGACGCTGTAGCTCAAGTGGTAGAGTGCTAGCCTTGAGCTGAAGAGCTGAGGGATAGCGCTCAGGCCCAGAGTTCAAGCCCCACGACTGACCAAATAAATAAATAAATAAAATGACAGTATAAATTAGAAAAAATACCAGGATAAGAGTTAGAGCTTTATCTCTACCTTGGAAAGGCATTTCACTTCTTTGCATTTCAGATTTCCTGTTAGCAAAATGGCAATGTCTGCCTTCACTATCTCATTCATGAAGACAATACATATGGAAAAAACATTACAAAACATGCCATACAAATTTTGGGCTTCTATTTAATTATTCAAAAAGTTCCATAAATTCTTTTTCTCCAATAATTTAAATGATTTACAAAGATTTACAAAGACTAAGTCCATAATTTGCAGCAGAGCCCAAGTTATTAGAATATTGTGCTACCTATAAATACAAGTGATATTTTCATACACTGTAAGCATTTAAGCAGATGCTTAGTTTTAATCAATAACCACCAACATTAAACTTGACAGATAAAGTTAAAGGAGTTTATGCTAGCTAGCATATTACTTTCTTCCTTGATATCTCATATTAACCAGCAGTGAACTGTAAGATAATTCACTACGTTTGCATATATGATCTGTCTCACACAGAAATACTATATATATTCATACTTGCCAAGTATCATTCCTTGGTTTAGTAGAATAATTAAAAATTCACAATTTTACTTATTTACTTTTAATAACCAGAAAACTTCCTAAAAGAAACTGATGCAGTGTGAATGCAATGACATTAAAAATTATGAGATGACTCACAAGATAATATGCTGGAAATGATCTATACAACTTGGGGGAAGGGCGATTGGGAGAAGTGAAAATGGGAGAAAAATGAGGGAGGGGGTAACAAGTTCGACAAGAAGTATACTCACTACTTTTATTTATGTAACTATAACTTCTATGTACATCACCTTGACAATAAAATTAAAATTAAAAAAATAGTAGAAAATGCAGCAGAAATAAATGGAAATAAGTAGTGAAAAAAGAATTATCAAGTGAAATTTCACTAAATTTCTATGATTCTAAATGTAGTTGCTCAATAGATACTTGTTTAGAGCTAACTAAGCGCTAGCACTGGGGATACAAAGGATGAATGTTAATGACAAACCCATCATCATGTGAGATATTTTTCCTTCCCCCTTCCCTTCCCCTTCCCCCTCCCCTTCCCTTACCTCATTCCCCTCCCTTTTGTCCTCCCCTTCATCTCTCTCCTTCCCTTCCCTTCCCCTCCCCTGCACTACCTCATTCCTTTCTTAGTGTTTTTATTTGTGATGCATTTTTCCCACTTCTACCCCCATTTCATTGTTAAAAAATTTTAAGTGTTCTGTCCTTTCTTAATACTTTTCTTTCTTTCTTTGTTTTTTCTTTTGTTGGTTGTGGGGCTTGAACTCTGGGCTTGGGCGCTGTCCCTCAGCTCTTCAGCTCAAGGGGAGCGCTCTACCACTTGAGCCACAGCGCCACTTCCGGTTTTTGAGTGGTTTATTAGAGATAAGAGTCTCACGGACTTTTCTGCCTGGGCTGGCTTTGAACCACGATCCTCAGAACTCAGCCTCTTGAGTAGCTAGATTACAGGCATGAGCCACCTGCGCCCAGCTATTAACACTTTTCTTCTTACATTTTCTGTAGTATAATTTTCCTTCTCTATTAGAAACTCCCTTAAGAATACTGAGAGGCTCCTCCTACCCTGGTTCAAGAATAATTCCTCAATTCTAATTCTTCTTGATCTTTCAACTGCATCTGCTTTCATAAATTTTGTCATTGTTGTTTTTTGTTTGTTTGACTTGGGGTATGAGTTGGATACAGGGTCTCCCTATATAGGCTAGACTTGCCTCCAAGTAGGGAGCCTTCTACTTAAGCCTTCTATGAGCTAGGAATGTAGGCATGTTCCACCAAATTTTGGTTCTTTTTAAAAATCTTTTTTTATTATTATCATCTTTAAGTAGTTGCACAAAGTTCCCATTCTACAAAACAGTATATGAATACAAGGTGTCTGACATTGTCACCCATCACTCCTAACCCATCCCTTCTTTCACTTTTACATTTCTAAGTGACCTCCAAGATACTCTAATATCTAAGTTTTCTCACTACTTTTATGATCATTTATCTTGTCTTCCTAATTAATCTATCTGGAAGAGGAAACATCCCCAAAATCTGGTGTTCAATGACCAATTCTCTTCATTTGTTCTACTAGGGGAGAGCAATCCCCCACAGTTCAGAACCAGATCCAAAAGCTGCTTTGAATTTTGTCTTAGATGTGCCTCTTCTTCCTCATGTTAACATTATAGATTACCAATATAATTCTGTTTTTATTCTTTTATATGAATAAGAAATAGCATTTTATCCATTTTTGACTATGCAGGTATGTGGCACTCAGTACCTTCATACTGTTGTGCAACCATTACCACTAACTATGACTAGAATGTTTTTTCCATTATCTGCAAATGAAAACTGTCCTTATTAAATAAGAACTCTCCATTTCTTTTTAATTTCAACATTTTAGTCTTTTCTATTTTAATTCATCTTACATATCTGCAAAAATTCTGCAAACAAGGCTTAATTATAATTCCCTAATCAAACAAACAGTATTTCTTTCTCCTCTATTCTTATCTCTCACCGGGAAATGAACCCATATTCTTGTACATGGTAGGCAATGCTCTATCAGTGAGCTATACCCCTAGTCCCTAATAGTGCTCTTTTTATTTTTATTTACTATTCTTTATGTCGGCTGGGGTGCTGGGTGCTGTCCCTGAGCTCTTTTTGCTCAAGGTTAGTGCTCTACTACTTTGAGCCACAGCACCACTCCCAGTTTTCTGTGGTTATTTGAAGATAAGAGTCTCACAGATTTTCCTACCACAATCCTCAGATCTCAGCCTCCTGAGTAGCTAGGATTACAGGCATGAGCTACTAGTGCCTGGATGCTCTTTTTATTGATAACATCAGAAGGAATAATGAATCTTTGAATATAGTAGTTTTTAAAAATATAGTGACAGTGTGTAGAAAATGCTGATGAAAAAATAATTTTAATTAGACATTTTTCTATTACTCAAACTCTGGATTAGAATGTCAAGAAAACAAAAACAATAAAAAATTTTGTGATAAAATTTTAATAATGGAGGGGCTGGGAAGGTGGCTCAGTGGTAGAGTGCTTGCCTTGCATGCCTGAGGCCCTGGGTTCGATTCCTCAGCACCACATAAGCAAAAAGAAAAAAGCCGGAAGTGGTGTTGTGGCTCAAGCAGTACAGCGCTAAGCCTTGAGCTGAAGAGCTGAGGGACAGTGTGCAGGCCCAGAGTCCAGGCCCCACGACCGGACCCAAAAAAAGAAAAAAAAATTTTAATAATGGAGTACTTGTGATACTAACTTACGTTATTTTTGGAAAAATATCTCAATGACTCTGTACTTCCAACTAACTAGAAAATATGCTCTACTGCAAACTAATTGACCTACAATGTAAATAATCTTTAATTAATTTCATTGTTTTAGAATTATAAATTTTTAATTAGTATCTTGAAAGCAAAAACAATTCAATCTCCTATTAATCTAGCTTTATTAAATAGCTCTGTTTCATCGATTGTTCATGCTGCTTCCCTTTTCTATTCTTTTAATGGGTCTATTCCTATTAGAGAGAGAACACATATATCAAACTTTTTTATATATCATCTAGAAAAATGAAGTACATAGATTAGTAGTTAAAGTTTGATGTAATCCCAACAAAGGGAGAAAAACTATTAGTCCACTTGACTATTTCTAGTAAGCCTCAAACAAGCAATCACATTAAATAATCATTCTTTCATTAAAAGGAAAGAGGAAGAGAGGAAGAAAAGTAGAGAGAAAACTAGGAAGGGAATGAGGGAGGGAGGAAAGACGGAAGAAAGGAAAAAAGAAAAGAAGGGAAGAAAGAAAGGCAAAGGAAAAGGGCTATGAAAAAGGAATACATATTCATAAATAATGAATTGCTTCTACTAAGTCCTTACATAGTCAAAACAAGAAACAAAAATTAATGGAAGGAAGGAAGGAACAAACATGTCTCAAATGATCAGAGGGTACATTAGGAAAATGATTGCTAAAGCAATCAGAGACTAAACAGAAAAGCTACTACTGGCAATTAATTAAATTGTACTCAGATGGAAACCTGAAGTCTTTTTAACCATGTTTCCCAGTTTACATATTCTGCTAATGTTTCCGAACATTAGATGGCAATGAACTAAAGGTTTAAATGAAAGTAAAAAGATTCATTATATGAAAATTTAATGTAAGTAAGGTATAATTTTATATCAGCTCAAAATACATACCAAGTTATTGTTTGTCAGTGATGTGGCTTGAACTTGGGGCCTGGGCACTGTCCCTAAGTTCTATCTGCTCAAGGCTAGTGCTCTACCACTTGGGGCCACAGCACCATTTCCAGTTTTCTGGTGGTTAACTGAAGATAAGAATCTCACAGACTTTCCTACCAGAGCTGGCTTTGAGCCACAATCCTCAGATCTAAGCCTCCTGAATAGTTAGGATTATAAGTGTGAGCCATCAGGGCCTGGTATATCAACTTTTGATAGCAGTTCTTACCTGGGAAAAGGTCTGTACATCTCATAAATATCTCCCAATAGATTAGCCCAAGTGCATACATGTCTACTTGTTTCAAAGCTGATTCGCAGTCTCTCAGGTTCACAGCTCCTTCTAGCACTTCTGGTGCCATATATCTAATTGTGCCAACCTGATTGAAATTGGAGATACATTTTTTTAGAAACAGAATATAGCATATTTTGAAGGGTAGACATTAGATCAACAGTGATATGCATACTGTGGTCATATTAATATTATTTGACTCTAAGCATGTTACTGAACCTTTAAACAACTTATTTTTTAATTTCTACAATATCCTTCCCAACTAAATAGTGGTAAATTTAGTAAATTTATCAATCAATAAAATGGACTAGATGTCCCTATATGTATCAACTTTATGTGCTGTAAGACACAATCATGAGAAAATTGCTAAACAATTTATACAGAATTTAGTATATTTATTTATTTAGGGTCCGGTCGTGGGGCCTGAACTCTGGGCCTGAGCACTGTCCCTCAGCTCTTCAGTTCAAGGCTAGCGCTCTATCACTTGAGCCACAGCGCCACTTCCAGCTTTTTTCTTTTTGCATAGGTGCTGAGGAATCAAACCCAGGGCCAAGCATGCAAGGCAAGCGCTCTACTGCTGACCCACCTTCCCAGCCCATCATTTAGTATTTTTAAATTAACAACTATATGTACATACATATGTATGTATAAGCACTCTTGTGTACAGGAGCACGTGCGTGCATACACACACACACACACACACACACATACACACAGCAGAAAGGTCAAAAAGGATATGTCTGACACTGTAACGGAGATTATCAGATGGTCGATAGTCATTTTATGAACTCAGTAACTTTACTCTTGCTTTGTAACAAATTCCTAGCTAGGTGTAGAGGTGTATGCCTATAAATTTAGCATTCAGGAGGGGGAAGCAGAAGGGTGTTGAGGTCAAGGCCAGTGTAGGCTGTATAGCAAGACTTTACCTCAAAAAAAACTAAAACAAACATAGAAAAACAATCAAATAAAATCAATTCATACTTATTTATTCCTAATATCTGTGTTCAAAGTGAGGCAGAATGACAATGATTTTCAAGATGAACTTCACAAAGGCCTTTATACATTTGGTACATCATACCTTTGTAATTTTTAGTATTCTATAACTGGCAGTATATAAACATTTCAAAGCATGTCAGTATTTTGTGTTACTCACCTCACTTATGGCTGCATTATCTTCTTCTCCTGGACGCACCAGTCTATTTCCAGTCAGCCTCATGGACAGCCCAAAGTCACTAATGACACAGGTTCCATCATTTTTTACCAGGACATTTCTGCTGTTTAAATCTCGATGGGAAATTGCAGGTTTATAATGATCTGTTTGGATAATTTAAAATATTTACTAATGCTTAAATAGAACTATTAGGGATGAAATGAACATATAGACAAACAAAATAGCTCAAGAGGTTCAGGTAGCAAGTGCTTGGCCCTGAGTTCAAACCCTAGTAATGCAAAACAAAAGCAAAACCCCACAAAAAAAAGGAAAAATAAAAATCACTGCTTTCCAATGCATTTTGCTCTGTAACTATTACATGTGTAGTTAATAAAGCATTTAACCATTTAGCTGAAACCAATAGCAAATATGTTGCTTACAACTCTTAACACAACTGTTTTCTCTTAATTTCTGAAGCACATAAAGAAATATTTGGTATGTTCACTGACACACACATTTCTGTAGCACATAAAGAAATATTTGGTATGAACATCAACACACACACACACACACACACACACACACACACACACACTCCACACACAGGAGTCAGCTTGTCAGTTATTAATGAAAAGCTACTGTGGCTCTAAATTTTTGTATGAATACTAGTTTTCCTATATTTTTATTAAATCAAATGGGTAACAACACATCCCAGTTCTGCCTTAGGTTTAGTCAAGTCTCTAACCTAAGCCCACTTTAACTCTTTTTTTTGGGGGGAGAGGGGGGTCCGGTCGTGGGACCTGAACTCTGGGCCTGGGTGCTGTCCCTCAGCTCTTCAGCTCAAGGCTAGCAATCTACCACTTGAGCCGCAATGCCACTTCTGGCGTTTTTCTTTTTGCTTATGTGGTGCTGAGGAATCGAACCCAGGGCCTCAGGCATGCAAGGCAAGCACTCTTCCACTGAGCCACCTTCCCAGCCCCCCCACTTTAACTCTTTAACCAGAAATAATTTATAATGAATTGGGAGAACAAGTGGAGGAGCTGGGATCTCCCAGCAAGATATGAAAATTTATTCTCTGATTTTATGGAAGCAAAGCAGTGTTATGCTCATTCTATTCTTGATTACCCTCATCACCAGGCTACAAAATCCTCACTGCAAGAATATATATACAATATTTTCTGACTACAAAGAATGGATCTACCTGGGGCCCTCATCTGAAACATTACATTATTTTTCTACATATATAAAGAACCCTTATTTAGGCCTCAAATAAAACCACAGCTGTCGAAATGAGAAAAAGTTCTATAAGTTTTTGAAATATAAATCATTTCCTCATACAAAGAAATTGAGCAATGGGAATAAAGTCAGTAAATTTATTGAATATTTGCATATAGGTATAAGTACACTCAATAGTTAGATGTATTTGTTATTAATATATTAATAAGCATTCAAGGAAGTAAACGTGTGGCTGAAGTAGTAGATTTCCAGATTTTTTTTTTTTTTGGGGGGGTCCGGTCGTGGGGCCTGAACTCTGGGCCTGGGCGCTGTTCCTCAGCTCTTCAGCTACCACTCTACCACTTGAGCCATAGCGCCACTTCTGGCTTTTTTTCCTGCTTATGTGGTGCTGAGGAATCGAATCCAGGGCCTCATGCATGCAAGGCAAGCACTCTACCACTGAGCCACCTTCCCAGCCCCATAGAGTGACAGACTTGCGCAACAAAGCTAAAGCAATAGCAAGAGTTCAAACCCCAATACAGACATTAAAAAAAACAAAAACAAAAACAAAAACAGAAGAGTTGGAAGAAAAAACAGGAGCTAATAAGTTTCTTTAACTGAGTTGACTTCTGTCTCTTTTTACCATCTTCTACTAACTGTTTCAATCATCCCAAACTTGTGTTTAACTTAGCTTCAATGAAATTCCTATAACAGCTATATCACTTGTTCTGAGCAAAAACATACTATACCATATTACAACATAAATACTATGGTACAGGGCTGGGAAGGTGGCTCGGTGGTAGAGCACTTGGCTTGCATGCCTGAGGCCCTGGGTTCGATTCCTCAGCACCACATAAGCAAAAAGAAAAAAAGCCTTGAGCTGAAGAGCTGAGGTACAGCGCCCAGACCCAGATTACAAGCCCCACGACTGGATCCAAAAAAAAAAATTGTGGATATAAATACTATGGTACAATCGTGAACTCAGATATTCATATAAAAATTTTTATAGTAAAGTTGGAAACTGTTCACAATCTATAATAAAATCAATCTATAAACTAAAGTATCTATACTTCAGGGAAAACTAATGATAGGGAAAGTATGCAACAAGTTGGTAGGCAACCAGAATGAAAAAGTCTATTTCCTACTCTTCCTAAAAAGAAAAAAGAAAAGAGATGAAAACAAAAAAAGATAGGAAAGATAGGAAGAAACAGACTAGAGGAAGAAAGCAGTGAGGTAAAGAGAAAAGGTAACATTATCAGACTACTCCTCTGACATGACTTTTTCCTTATAAGTTCCCTAAGTACCTATTTTAATTTTTTTACGTGTATGAGGCAATGGGTAGAACACAGTATTATCTTTCCCTAGAAACAGCACCTTACTAGGCAAATATCTCAAAGGAAATCATGATACGGTATGATTTCAGTTACATATTTTTTTTTCCGGTTGTGGGGCTTGAACTCTGGGCCTGAGTGCTGTCCTTGAGTTCTTCAGCTCAAGTCTAGCACTCTACCACTTGAGCCACTGCATCACTTCTGGTTTTCTGGTGGTTTATTGGAGATAAGAGTCTTACGGACTTTCTTGCTCAGGCTGGCTTTGAACTGTGACCCTCAGATCACAGCCTCCTGAGTAGCTAGAATTACAGCCATTAGCTACCAGCACCTAGCTTCAGTTACATTATTTAAACCAATTCAAAAATTAGTCTCTCAGCTGGGTGTTGGTGGCTTACCCCTGTGATCCTAGCTATATCAGGAGGCTGAGATCTGAGAATCATAGTTCAAAGCCAGTATAGGCAGGAAAGTCTATGGGATCTTATTTCTAACCATCAAAAAGATCAAAGTGGAGCTGTGGCTCAAATGGTGGAGCACTACCTTTGGGCAAAAAACCCCTCAGGGACAGCTTCCAAGCCCTGAATTTTCTAAAGGGATTCTTTAAATGTCTGAGGGTTGTTTTTTTTGTTGTTGTTGTTGGGGTGGAGAGTGGTGGAGTGTGCTGGCCCTGGGCCTGGGAACTCAGGGCCTGAATACTGTCTGTGAGCTTCTTTGCCCAAGGCTAGTGAGCCACAGCTCTATTTCCAGATTTTTAATGGTTAATTGGAGAGAAGAATCTCACAGACTTTCCTGCCTTGGTCGACTTCAAACTGTGATCCTCAAATCTCAGTCTCCTGAGTATCTAGGCATGAGCTACTGGCACTTGGCCAGCTTGAAATGTTTTAAAATAGTGTAATATACTAAACAAAAAGAAAGAAATGTACATATCAGCCGATTTGGAAGAAATAGTTGTATTGTCACAAACTTTATAGACCACGATAATAACAATTTGCCTCATGAAGGTTAAAATGTGTTTGTGACTTTAACTATCACTATCTCACAATACTGTGAAATTTATGTAATCAATCACAATAAAAATTATTTTAAAAATAGTGTAATATAAAATTGGGATCATGGTTTAAATAGCAGAGAACTTGCCTAGCAAGAGCAAGGCCCTGAGTTCAACCCTCAGTACTGCTAAAACTAAACAAACAAAAAACGAAGCACCCAAAGGGGTAACTAGGCTTTTCATTAGTTAAATGTTTGAGAGTAAAGAGCTCTATTTAAATAAAAATTTTAGCCAATGTTTGTCTTGAAACCTTGCTGAATCATGCAATCCTTAAAAGGGGATTAAGGATGGTATTTTAAATTCTGTACTAAGCCAGATTTTAAAAGGAACTATAATATTTAAGAGCAAGGGAATACATTCCAATAGCTAATATGCTGATGCACTAAGTAAGTGCATCAAGTTGCTGATATAGGCAGTAACTTCCTGTACTCAGGAAGAGCAAGATGTCAAGATAAATGAGCTGATAAATTATTCAGGAGAAATTATTTATATATGAAGCATCAGCTAGAAAAGATGATCCATTCTATTATGTAACGGAACAAAGATCTAAGAAACTGATACATTAAAATCCTCTTCACTAAAGAGGTCAGGGAAACTGAAAAGACAATGTCATGGCTACAGGATTACAGTAAGAAAACGTGGTAAGGGATAAAAGCTTCAGAAAGCACAGGCACAGGATTATCACAGCCAGGCTAATTCAGGGTGCTTGTGATGTGAGAGCAAATTGAAACAAAGTGAGAAAGCAAATGTTTTAAAAAAGAGATGCTTTGACCAGCTAGCAAAACTGCATGAAAGCTGAGGAACCATGGTAGTGACAAGGAATACAACATAGTTCTGATAAAGTAGTGGCAAAGATTGACTCCCTACTAAACATTGTCTTTCCTACTTAGTAACTAAGCCCAAAACTATCTGAGGCACCAGTATACAGAGCAACATAGGAAAACAAATATTATATTCCCAGTTTCTTTTGCAGGTAAGTGTGGATTCATCCTGGGAAATAAAACATAAGCATAAAAAGGGGCTTCTTGGGTAGAAGGGGACACCCCTCCTTTTACTTTTGTTGTATAGAATAGAGCATGAATGTAAAGGTACCTCTGAAAATGAAAGACACATATAAAGATGGTGGAGAAGAAATACAGGAGCTTTGGGCCTCTCCTACTTCTTTTCTTCCCTCCCTCCCTCTCTCCCTCTTCTCTTTAGACCCATTCAAGTTCCCTTGCCTTTTTTCCTTTCTTTTCTTCTTCATTTTCCCACTTTTCCTTGTATCAGGGATTGATCCTATGGCTTCATGCATGCTAGACCAGTGCCCCATCACTAAATTATACCCCAAGCACTCTCTTTTGATTCTTAGAAAGAAAAAATTGTTCTTTTGTTTTTGTTTTTTTTGTCAGTCATGGGGCTTGAACTCTGGGCCTAAGCTCTATCCCTCAACTGTTCAGCTCAAGGCAAGCACTCACTCATAGGCTACTTCCAGTTTTCTGAGTGGTTTATTGGAGATGAGAGTCTCACGGGCTGGTTTTGAACTGTGATCCTCAGATCTTACAGCCTCCTGAGTAGCTAGGATTGTCTTATTTTGCCCAGCCTGGAGTTTGAACCCAGGGCCTCAAGCCTGTAACTTGCTTGCTTAGCTGGAGCTCTAGCACTTGAAGTACACTTCTAGTCTAGCTTTTTACTAGTGATTTTAGAGATGGAGTCACATGGACTTTATGCCTGGACTGGCTATGAAGAGGGATCCTCTGGGTCTCAGTACTGAGTAGCTAGGATTACAGGTTGGAGTCAGCAACATCTAGCTTAAAAAAAAAATCTTAGGGCTGAAAAGGTGGCTCAGTGTTGCATGAGGCCCTGAGTTCGATTCCTCAGCACCACATAAGCAAAAAGAAAAAAGCCGGAAGTGGCGCTGTGGCTCAAGTGGTAGAGCACTAGCCTTGAGCTGAAGAGCTGAGGTACAGCACCCAGGCCCAGAGTTCAGGTCCCACGACTGACCCCCCCCCCCCCCCAAAAAAAAAATCTTAATGAAGTTACTATCATTGCCATCCTCTCCCCTAAAGATCTGGACAAACCTCGTTCTAGATAATACTTATACATTTAAGAAGTAATTATATATTTGGGTTTTATCTAAAAGCCAACATAATAGACTAAAGATACATGTGATACTCAAACAAGTGATTATACATTGTAGTTTATAAAATAAATAAGTGCAAAGAAAATATAGCCTAACTAAGGCATTTTTAACCTAATGTCCATAAGTAGACTTAAAGAGTCGAAAGACCCCCTAAAATTTTCTTTTTGATTTTTTTTATGAGTAGAGAACAAAACCCAGGGCCTTGTATATGTTAGGCAAGCACTCTACCACTGAGCTATATCCCCTAGCACAAAAAACATTTTTTTTTTTTCAAAATTAAGCCTACATGTGCTAGTGCTCTCCCACTTGAGTCACAAAACCACTTCCAGCTTTTTCTGAGTAGTTTATTGGAGATAAGAATCTCACAGACTTTCCTGCCTAGACTGGCTTTGAACTATGAGCTTCAGAACTTAGCTTTCTGAATAGCTAGGATTATAGGTCTGAGCCACCAGCACCCAGCTTTTAATCAAATTCTTAATGGGATTCATACTCTTTCTAGAGTCTTAAAAGTTCTTTTTCTCATTCTACCCATTACGTTTCAAATATGTTTCCTCATGCTGGCTCTTTTAAGCAACTGGCTCACAACAAATCTCTAATAATACAAATTATATGTTTACTTTGAAGATATAATTAAAAACTCTGTGAATTTTGAACTCATATGAGGGTCATTCATTTATTCACTATCTTACCTCCTCGTGGCAATTCTGTGTGAAGATAAGCCAGTCCTCGAGTCACAGAATGAGCCAATCGGCAAGAGCTTACCCAGTCACTTGTATGGAGGCTCAAATACTTGCAAAGAGATCCCTATACAGTGGGGAAAAAAGTATATAAAAAAGGAAAATTAATTTATTTTAACATGAAGCAGTAAGTTAATAATCTTACAAGTAATTTGCATAGGCTAGAATTCCATGAAGATCTAATGAATCAATTTTGCTTTTTTTGTCAGTCACGGGGATTGAACTCTGGGCCTGGGTGCTGTCCCTGAGCTAGTTTGCTCAAGGCTAGCACTCTACGGCTTGAGCTACAGCACCACTTCCATGAATCAATATTAAGCAAAGTTAGTAAACAGTTTCTGCTGGGCACCAGTGGCTCTGACTGTAATCCTAGCTACTTAAGAGGCTGAGATCTAAGGATAACGGTTCAAAGCCAGCCTGGGCAGGAAAGTCCGTGAGACTCTTATCTCCAATAAACCACCAGAAAACCGGAAGTGGCACTGTGGCTCAAAGTGGTAGAGCATTAGCCTTGTGCTTAAGAGCTGAGAGACAGCACCAAGGCCCAGAGTTCAAGCCCCATGACAAAAAAAAAAATATTGCTCAGGGGCTGGGGATGGAACTGAGTGTATAGGGTATAGTTCTTGCCTATCATGCACAGATTCCATCCCTAACACACCAAAAAGACAAAAGAAAAAAAGAAAAAAAATCAAAAATTTCTATTTAATATAACAATATAGTAAAACAACTATTAACACAGTATTTACAATATAAATCAAGAGATTGATTATTCATGGGTTATATATAACACTACTGGCTATTTTTATTTAAGAGACCAACATCTGTTGGAGCAAAAAGATAGTCCTAGAGCCAATTGTCTAATGCTATTAGATGACTGCATCCATCTATCTGTGCTATTCAAAAATTTCTGCTAAGATGAATGTCAAAGTAATGCTTCCTTCACTGAGAAAAAAAAAAATAAAAAGGAAGTGGGAGAGAGCTGAATAAGCACTATATTTTTTTTAAATATAGGATCTACTATGTAGCCCAGGTTGCCTTGAACATGTTCCATATTCCTGCTTCCACTCCCCAGTGCTGGGACTATAGATGTGTGTCATCACACCCAGCTAAGTGGTATGTCTGAGTCAAATTCTGGCATGAAATCATAACCTCACTGTAGAACATAATAACTAGCATGAAAAACCACCAATGCTCTATGTTACAGAGGTCTTCTTCAAAATCTTATTGACAATTATTATTATTAAGAATTTATTTTTTATGAAAAACTTACATTGGGATAATACTCCATCACAAGCAAATATTCCATACGTCCATCTGCAGTGACTCTCTCATCTCCAACTATAAAGCGAGCAATGTTGTCATGTTCCATCAAAGGCACTCTGTAAATGTTTTTTTCGTTTATAAAATTCTGACGGTTTGCAAAAGAAAACACTTTTACAGCAACTGGACGCTCATCCAAGGAACCTTTATATACTGCTCCATATCGACCCCGTCCAATCAGCTGTAAGTTTGTTTTTAAAAAAAGGCAAGGTATTAATTCATATTGAAAGTGAACACTTAAATCTTACTATAATACAAATCAATATGGTAATGCCACAGCTCTCTATTGGTTATAGTTTATAGCATTATCAAGAAACTAGTGAGCTGAGAATGTAGCTCAGTGGTAGAGCATTTGCCAAACATGCACAAAGCCTTGGGTTCAATCTTGAGCACCACAAGAAAACCAAAAAAGAAACTACTAAAGTCTCTATGTGATATAACTGAGGATGCTGATACCTACTCTAGTCTTTTCCAAGGTAACAAGTATAAACTATGGATAAAATTAAAAACAAAAACCAAAAAAATATCTTAAAGTCTTGGAGAATAAACAAAAGCAGACAGATTCTAGGAGTTATCAAAGGTGAAAAGAAAGGAATGGTATGCATTGAACTGCCCATTTTTATAGATTTTTAGTTTGAAGGAAGGTTGAAATCATATGTACTCAATGAAACTAAAACAGTGAGAGGAAAACTCTCTTTTTTGGCCCGAGGAAAAAGTGGATACAATCTAAAGCAACTAGAGCTGTTGGAAAGTGAGGGGAAATCCTAAAAGCAGAAAGCCATGAAGGAGAACGGGACGGGACAGAACAGGACAGGACCACCCAATAAATGCATGAGACAGACACTAGGAATAAAATTGTGAGTCAAGCTTCTGTTCAAGAGACAAGTTTATAGTTTATGTCCAGTTAATAGCTTACTAATACAACAAAAATTAGTACATGATGGAATAATATCAGGGTTTTCACAATATAACAATCACAACATCTAAGAGACAATAAAAAAATCACTCAGTACTCAACAAACCAGAAAAAATGTAACCTATGCTCTTAATCTTCGACCTCTGGGGATTTTTTTTTTTTTTTTACTAAAACTGGTTTTGGATTAACTATTATTTATTTAAGAATATTTGCTCTGCATTTTTCTTTCTTCCTTTCTTTTTTTTTTTTGCCTGTCCTGGGGCTTGAACTCAGGGCCTGGGTAGTTGTCCCTGAGTTTTATTGCTCAAGGCTAGCACTCTACCAACTGAACCACAGCTCTACTTTTAGCATTTTTAGTAATTTATTACAGATAAGATTCTCACGGACTCTCCTGCCTGGGCTGGCTTCAAACTGCAATCTTCAGATCTCAGCCTCCTGAGTAGCTAGGATTATAGACAGGCAGGAGCCACTGGCATCTAGCTTATATAATTATTTCTAGACAAAAAGTTAAAGCGGACTACGATTTTAAAAGGTATATCAAAACATATTACAAACAAATCTTGCATAATATTCCATGTTTTAATTGCTATTTCTTTCATCTAGTAATTTGGTATTTTATTGCTCATTTATTAGCCATCTTCTTTTGTGAATTTTCAGGTACTCTCTATATTGTATATATAATTTTTATATATTCATAATATAATACATATTATACGTATTTATATACGATATAGTATACACATATATAATTAACAAAATTTATATTATATATAGAACATATTTATATAATACTTATATATGTTATTTTATTTCAATTATTTTTGGTACTGGTCCTGGGCACTATCCCTGAGGTTTTTTGCTCAAGAATGGCACTTTACCGTTTGAGCCACAGCTCCACTTTCAGTTTTTTAGAGGTTAATTGGAGGTGAAAGTTTAACAGACTTTCCAGTTTGGCTTCAAACCACACTCCTCAGATCTCAGCCTCCTGAGTAGCTAGGATTACAGGTATGAGCCAACCAGCACTCAACCCTCTTTTGTCTATTTTTATTGTTTCATTCATATTACCTTACACCAGTTGTTTATCAATTCTTTCCTTCTATTTTGAACTTTAAAAAAAAAATTGACCTTTTAACTTTGTTTTTATGTTTTTCTTCCAAAATAAAAGGTTTTAAAAATGATTTAGACAAATCATTCATATGGAATAATCCCTGATTTGGAGTTATCCTTATCAAGTAATTTGTAATAAAAAGCATTAAAAACTCAGGATTAATAAGACTTCTAAAATAGTGTCTGAGTAGTTGGTGATAAGTAGCCCATAGTATGAGAACAGCCTTACCTCCAACAGTTTCAAATTATCTAGGTCAAGAGAGGGCTCTGATGCTGCTGCCTCCATCATGTTCATACTGTGCAGACCTTGTTTGCGGTCTCCTATACAACAAGACAAAGCAGTGACTACATGTGGTTTCCCTAATACAACAACCTTTATCACATTTTAAAATACTAGAGTTTAAAAGAAGAGAATCAGAAGGGAAACAAAGTATTTATTAAACTAGGAATCATGGATAAATTAAGATACATAATAAACAGTGTGAAAGCTGAATTCTGTGAATTGCTTCTATCAACAGTGAGTTTGAAATCCTAAAAGACATTGCAAAAATTTCAAGATTACATTAGAATCACTTAACAGAATAAATGGATGCTTATACCCTAAATGTCATCAAACCTAACATTTAATTAGAACTGATTATAGACATTTGCTGAGGACTTATTACCTTTTTTAGATGTAAAAATAGCATTATGGTTATGTATTTTTAAGTCCTTATATTAAGTATTTATGGATCTATGTTATACAAAATAACTCAGTGGCATGAAAAGAGGCACTGAGTGGGAATGCAGAGAAATAACTCCAACTGTTATCACACATGGGTAATATCAGTCGGAGTTGGGTTACGGGTATTTTATGTAAGTTTGTAACTTTTGGTAAAAAGTAGGGGAAATAATTTGGTAAAAATGATGGGACACAAGTGGTGTTGGTTGTTTTGTTTTACCTGTCAACATTCGGTATCCGAAGCATAAGGCAACTACCAGAACAGCTAATACAGAGACTGATGCCAAGGCAATGATTATTGTCTCATCTCGGTTAAATGAATGAGGTGGACCTAAAAGAAAACAAGTTTAAAAACACTGTTATCCTTTTGCTTTTCAAAAGCATTATGTTAAATATAGGCAAAGTGTCTTTTAGAAAGGCTCTATTCAAATTAATAATGTTTTCTGAGAAATAAATTGTGACCATTTCAAAATTAGGTATTTTAATCATATAGATTACCTTATATAGACTTCAAATACTGAAACCCTGTAAAGTGTGCCCCTAATTGCTGGACTATCAACAGCATAGACAGCATATTCTTTAGAATCACATTTAGTTCTAAATTCTAGCTCTGAACTACTTGTTGAGTGGACTTCAGCAAATCATCTCACTTTCTATGCTTCAATTTTCTCATTTGAAAAATGGGACTCTGCACCTCACAAGTCAGTTGTGAGACACAGATGGGAATTCCAATGGAAAGCATGTACAATGGAAAGCATATAGTAGCTACATAAATGACATTCTTTGATGCTGATGTCAATATTATGGAAAAAAACATAGCTTTGAAGGCAATTATATCTAAATTGGCTTCTTGAAGCTTAGTTTGTTCACTTGTTAACATGACCATGGGAAAATTTCTTCCTGTCTGAGTCTGTTTACTCATTTGCATATCTAAATTACACTGTTATTATAAACATATGAACATTTTATGTTCTATTCTATGGGTCAGATTTGTTGTTGGTGTTGTTTTGTTGAGATAGCCCACCGTTGGCCTCAAACTTATAAATGTCCTGCTTCAGTTTGCCTCAGTGTTAAAATTACTGGCATGCAACTACCAGGCTGGCTTCGATCATATCTTATCAAAGAAGATATCATTTAGGATGGCTAGCTATAAATTACAACATATTCATAAAACAGTAGGTTAAGATACAATAACTCTCAATTGTGATAAGCAGAAAGAATTCAAAGCATCTGATGTAGAAAAAGAGAAAACTTGGAGAACATACAGCTTTCTCTATGGAGAAAAATGGAATTGTTTTGAGTAGCTACAGGAAGTAACTAGTTTCAATAGTGTATATTCAAAACAACAATTTTTAGTACATTTAATACAATTTAAGGCCTACAAACAGAACTGTCTAAAATGGAATGAATTACTCTGTGACATAGCTATTTATAATTCTACTGGGTATTATTAAATGTTTGGTAATACTGATCAAACACTGAGCTTGATTACTGCTAATATCTTTATTTAATTATTCTTTATACTCAAATTAAAATCAACTATACTGTATTTTAAAATTTTCTTATTTTGGACATTATAATTACATGTTGTATTCAAACTACAACACTCAATGTGAAAGTTAAGAGTTTCTGGGGTTCCTTTTTTAAATGAATTCTTAGCCAAATTAAGCTAAGAATATAGCTTAGCTGTGAAGTGTCTGCATAGCATGGTAGGCCCTGGGTTTAGTCCTCAACATCACCAAAAAATAAAAAATAAAAAAAAGGAAAGAAAATACAAAACAAGACCAAAATTCATTTTTCTACATTGAGATACTAGCATGGCCACCATTTAAAACAAGAGAATAAGTGTTGGCAAAGCCAGGCACTCAACTGGTAGCCTGTAATGCTAGCCACTCAGGAGGCTAAGATTTTTAGATTGTGGTTTGAGGCCTGCCAAGACAAGAAAGTCTGTGAGACTCTTACCTCCAATTAACTACCAGAAAAGCCAGAAATAGAAGTGTGGCTCAAGTGGCAAAGCACTAGCTTTGAGCAAAAAAGCTCAAGGACAACTCCCTGAATGCAAGCCCCAAAACTGGTGAATGTACATGCACACGCACAAGCACATGCACAACACACACACAAAGTGTTGGCAGATTGTGGAGAAACTAGAACTTCCATACATTGTTGGGGAGGATATAAAATGATATAGATGCAGTGGAAATCAATTTGTGAACGGATCTTCAAAGATATAATCAGAATTTCCATAGTCATATTCCCAAAAGAACTGTAAAAGTGTTCAAACAAATCATTTGTACCAACATTCATAGCATCACTATGCTTAACAGCTAAAAGTAGAAACAACAGAAATATTAATGCAATAACAAATATTAAAGTAAGATGTAATATTTCCACAAAAAGGTTTCATATTCTATGATTCTATTTATATGAAATATTCAGAACAGGCAAGTCTTTAGAGACAAAAAGCAGATTAGCAGTTGCTAGGGATGGGGAAAGAGGGAAATGGTAGTGAATTGCTTATTAGATGCAAGGTTTCCCTTGTGGAGTAACGAATGTGTTTTGGAACTACCTAGAGATAATGGTTGCTCAACGTTGTGAATGCACTGAATGGAACATTTTATCATGGCTAATTCTGTTATACAAATTTTATTTTAAAAAATCCACAAAAACTCATTTCAGAATTTGCTAAACCCAAAAGAGAAATTTTATTTTTAACACACACAATTAAATAATTTATGGATCTTTAATAAAAGACACTAAGTATTTTATATGCTTACTTATCATGTGTTCTTATAGTCAAAACTGACAGTCAAATACAGCATTCTCCCTTTACCCAGGGTAATACATTATAAGGGTCCTAGTAGATACCTGAAACCACTTATGGCACCAAATGCTATATAGTTGGTTCTCCTTATTTGTGGGTTACATATCTGTAGACTTAAACCAGCTACAGGTTGAAAGTATTTGGGGAAAAAAATCCAGAAAGCTCCAAAAAGCAAAAGTCAATTTGCCATGCAATGAATCCACAAACAATGCTAAACTGTAAGGCATACCTTACTGTAGCCTTCTGCATTTGCTCTTCCTTTCTTCAGCCTTTTTTTTTTGTTTTGGTTTACTTTGAGTCTTGTTTGTGTACTACATATTTGGACTTATTGTAATTGTGTCTGCACTGAACTTATGAGGACCCTTTTCTTGTCATCATTTCCTAAATAACATGGCATAACATTCATACAGCATTTACAACGTGTTAAGTAGTAAGTATAACTTAGAAGTATATGGGATGGCATACAAAGTTTATATGTAAACATTATGCATTTTCATAGTAACATTTTTCAAGTATATATATATATACATATATATACTTTTTTTTTTCTTTAGGACATACATGTGATTGGGAATCAATTGCACATAACAAATTCTTTGGTTCTTAGCTACAGAATTTTTTCCACTAGAACTTTTTGCATTTGTTTATCTCATAACAAATTCTTTTCTTGTGCAGGTCCTGAGCTTTTGTGTTCAAAGCTAGCATTCTACCACTTGAGCCACACTTCCACTTCTAGTTTTTTGCTGGTATGTTGGAGTCTCACTGACTTTCCTGCCCAGGCTAGCTTTTAACTACAATCCTCAGATGACCTTCCAACTAGTTAGGATTATAGGTGTGAGCCATTGATTCACATAATGAATTTATTTTTTGGGGGGAGAGGTCCAGTCGTGGGGCCTGAACTCTGGGCCTGGGCGCTGTCCCTCAGCTCTTCAGCTCAAGGCTAGCGCTCTACACTTGAGCCACAGCGCCACTTCCAGCTTTTTCTGCTTATGTGGTGCTGAGGAATCGAACCCAGGGCCTCAGGCATGCAAGGCAAGCACTCTACCACTGAGCCACCTTCCCAGCCCTCACATAAATGAATTTTAAAGGCTGAATATAGACTGACTGCAGACTATAGTCTGGCATTATGACTAAGAATTTTTGTTTTGTTGCTTGAACTTTTGGTTTCCTATCTAAAAGTTCATGGCCAAATTCAGTCCTGAAGATGAGAATTCTAGTGTTTTCTTTTAAGAATTCTGTTTTGGACTTGTTAGTTACTTCATTTGACTAAACTTATCATTCTTAGCACTTCTTTTGAATATTTTTAATTTAGTCCAAACAATCTTTGTTTTTGTTGGTACCAAGGATTAAACGAACTCAGGGCCTCAGCCACATCCCCAGTCCTTTGTATTTTCATTATATTTTGAATAAAGTCACACTGTTTATTTGCCTGGATCAGATTGAACCTCAGTCCCATTATTTATGCTTCCAACACAGCTGCACAGACAGATGTGAGCCACCAGGTCCAGCCTTTAACTTCTTGGGATGCAAGTCCCACTATCTTTTTGCCTAGGCTATCCTTGAGAAGTGAGGCTCCTGATTTCTACCTCTCAAGGAGCTAGGATGACAGGAGTTAGATTAATTATAGCCAGGTACCCGTGTGTGTGTGTGTGTGTGTGTGTGTGTGTGTGCGTGTGTGTGTGTGTGTGTGTGTGTTTCTGGGACTGAAGCCATAATCACATACTGTGTGTGTGTGTGTGTGTGTGTGTGTGTGTGTGTGTGTGTGTGTGTGTGTGTGTGTGTGTGTGTTTTTCTGGGACTGAAGCCATAATCACATACTCTAGCACTGAATTATACTCATAACCCGTGTCTATGTTTTACATGTTTTATTAAAATTGCTTCTCACAGAAGAAAAAAACTAGGTTTGGAATGTGGCTTAGTGGTAAAGTACTTGCCTAGCATGCATGAAGCCCTAGGTTTAATTCCTCAGTTCCACATAAACAGAAAAAGCTGAAAGTGGAACTGTGGCTCAAGTGAAAGAATGCTAGCCTTGAGCAAAAGAAGCTCAGGGACAGTGAGTGCTCAGGCCCTGAGTTCAAACTCCAGAACTGGTAAAAAGAAAAAGAAAAAACTATAAGGAAATACACTGAAACATTGGCAAGTTTTTATGACTTCCATTATACATGTTAACCTAAATTTTCTAAAACAAATGTACATTATTTTTTATATATAAAAGAACTTGTTGGCTTCTAGGAATAAGCAACGTAGTACCAGTTTTCATATATGATCTGTGTCCTTTACAATTTATTTCAGCTGCAAATTTTTGCTGTTTCATCATTCTCAGAGTCTGACAGTATAGAAATGTTGGTATTAGATACAGAAGACTTGCTATGTCAGAAACAAAATTTCTACTTAAACTTCTTATCAAACAAAATAAATAATAACCTATTTTCCTTCATCTACAAAATCTAAATATAGCCCAGACATCTGACCAACTGCACAATTCTTTCATATTGTCCCTTTAGAATTCC